GACTCTTACACGGTTAGACCTCAAAGGCAACAAAATTGATCACATTGGTATTCATGATGTAAATAATTTGAAACAGCTTCAAGTTCTCAACCTTCGAAATAACAAATTCACATCCCTAGATCACCAGGTTTTGGAGTGCTTGCCACGTTTACAACACCTCTATTTAGATGGCAACCCCTGGAACTGTACCTGCAAACTCCTGAAGGTCAGAAGACTATTAGTTGATAAAGGAACTGATATAAAGGAAGGACATTGTGTTGAACCAAGTTACTGCCGTGGTGAAAAATGGATGTCCTCTGAAACCATGTTACGGCTCTGTGAGAGCAGCTACACCTTCAACAAAGCAAGAGAACATGTGAAAAAACTCAAACTGAATGAACTGCTTGACATAGATACTGATGAAGACTATGATTATGACTTGATACATTGATGGGTTTTCTACACTTGTGATGGCCCATCAGTTCTTTGAAGGCCCACCTTACTTATTATTACAATTTTGTAATTGTTTAAGTTTTTTTTTTTCTTCTATGTATGTAATGAGGCAAAGCAATCAATAGGAGCATGCTTATGTTTGTCTGTAAAACATATGTTAATTAATGGAATACAAATATACTAATGAAATCTGGCAACATGGCCATCAGTAAAACAAATCAGTGTAAAATACAGTCAAATACTTTGTTTGGGTTGGTTTAGTTGTGGATAGAGTGGAAAGAAGTTAAACATAGGGGTGTATTTATAAGCATTCATCCTGCAACTACAGGGTGCATACATGCAAGTGCATGTACATTTGATCTGGGCAAATAGAGGCAATTATCACTTTACAAGCATTTTTTCAGGTATGTAATATTAGGTAAATACCGTATTAGGCCACTAGATAGAGCTGAGGAGCATAGGAAACAAATACTTATTTCCTTTGGTTCTGCAATCCACTTGCAAAGTAATTCCAATGTGGTGTATCAGAGCTCTCAGAAATGTGAATCTCTCAGTATTCTTAGTAGTTTTGATGTAACACTAGAAGTGCAGTGGCCACATGCAGACCATTTTGTTGTCAGTGGAGAGGGTGTCAACGATCTTATGGTACCCAATCCAAAGGTCTGAGGGGTGGTTCGACAGGTGTGCTGGAGTATTTTATTATGCTATATCAGACACACCCTTAAAGGAGAACTATGAGGTGAGTGAAAATCACTCATCCTCATAGTTTGAGCCGACGTGTTACAATGAAACTGTCACACGTCGGCTCAATAGATCGGGAAGTGAGCGAACACATACCGTCGCCCGCTCACCTCTCGATCCTGTCCCTGCAGAGTGACAGTCACGACTCCCTGCAGGGATTCCCCCCCCCTGTCCCGGCTGCGGCGTCTCAGTATACCACGAGCTGTAGCTCGCGGTATACTGAGCTTTGGGTCACGGGAGGACGCTAGTTTTCGTCCTCCCGTGACCCTCAGGAGAACTGTGGGTGGGGGAAAACACTTACCCCATAGTTCTCCTTTAATACCAATTATTTTATATGCTCCAGTATTTTCATGTGACAAGTTTACAAGTTTTTACAATCTGTCAACCAACATAGTATTGTTGAGAATAAAATTAAAATTTATTAGAAACCGAGTACGATATGGATTTGATGTATTTATAGAAAAGAGGGCAACTAGTGGCTAACAATCCTTAAATAATGACCGTGTTTTTCGCTCCATAAGACACACCCCCCCCCAAACAGCGGGGGGAAATGTGTGTGCGTCTTATGGAGCGAATCCCTCATTTTTTGTACATTTAGCCCTGCCAAAGCAGAGCTAAACGTACAATGGAAGCCGCTGCTTGTTTAATACAAGTGATCTCACCATAGAGCCCCTAGAGCAGACGAAGAACATCCGTTCTTCGTCTGCTCTGTGTGATCACTCAGACCGTGGCACTGTAATCACAGCGCCAACTGTCTCAGCAGTCACTTACTGCAGCTTCTGCCACAGAAACTGTGACAGAAACTGCCTGCGTCCTATGTACCGGTGCGCCTTATGGAGCGCAAAATACCGTATTTACTTAATTCCCTTTATTTTATTTTTTTGATGGATTTTATGTATATCGCACCCAGGAGTGTTTTATTAGCCTGCTGGACCTTGTAACATTGGTGTCTTATACATTTGTGTAACTGTTTGTTATGAAGGTAACTCCACTACAGCAGGAATTGCAGAATGTGAATAGAGTTTGCTCTGGTATTAAAAAAAACACACACACTCAGCATGTGTATATGCTCAAACCATCCTGTGGACTTTTATATGACCTGGCTATTTACAACAGGCCTGCATTATGAGCCTTTTCAGAATTCTGCTTATAGAAGTTTACCACATCTCTGCTTTGCCTTTAGCTTGGACTGTTTCGGTGGGTACTTTGTGATACCTTTGCTTTTTGTTAAATGTGTCTTGAAGTGTATTTCCACTTTTGCAGACAGATTGGGGTAATACCTACTTTATACGTGTTACATGTTCCCTTTCACATTGCATAACTTAAAAAGAAGAAAAAATAATTCTGCTTACATTTAAAAAAATCCTACCTGACAGCACCCCCATGGGGGCTGTGGGCAGAGCTTCCCCTTAAATGAGGCAGCCTCAGGCAGCATCTCTTTAGGTCACATAGGGAAGAGACAGACAGAGCAGCATGCCCGTTCTGCTGCACAATGTTTGCAGTGTGCTCGCCGCCCACTTTCTGGCCAGTTCGTCCCAGGTTGCTAAGGGCTGGGCAGGAATACCGTATGTGTAAGGGTCATACACATCTCCCCGCCCAACTCTTAGCAACCTGAAATGCTCTGGCTGGTGTCCCGACCAGCTCCTGGCAACCAGTGAAGTCACTGGTTGCCAGGAGCTGAGCAGGTCGCTCTGAGGCGTGTTCAATTGTTCAGCCAGTGCGAGTGCTGAGTTAGCAAACCGCCGCTAAACACTGTGCTGCTAGTCAGCGCTCAGCACTGCTAACTTAGCACTTGGAGTGGAACTGGATGTGGATGCAGAATGCTGAGTGTGATGGAAAGGTGGGGACAAAGTACCAGCAGGCAGCCATTTTAACTGTGGGCACACCTGACAGTGCTGTAGAAAGGTGCCTGGACCCTGATGGAGGAAATCACAATTCAGTGTGGGAACCTACTATTTATAGTTTTTGTGGACAAGCACACCAAATATTCCTTGGAAAATTGTATTTATTAGTCAAAAATATTATCCTCCGCCATTTTGCTTAGCATTGTGCAGCTGAAGCGTTCAGTGAAGCTGCTGCAGCAAACTGAAGTGCTGCAGAACAGCTACTCAGCGCTCGGCTAAGGAACTGAACATGCCTCTGGCCGTCATTCCTTCCAGCTCCTGGCAACCAGTGAGGTAACTGGTTGCCAGGAGCTGGAAGGGACGCCACCCAGAGCGCCCCCCCCGGGTAAACATGCAGCACTCACCCCACACACCCCATCCCCTGCCCCTCCCGCCTCAGGCTGCAAAAAGGCGAGGGACACCCCTGGCTGTGGGAATGTTATGTTTACTCCAATTAATCCTTTCATTATCTGTTGAGAACTAGATGTGCTGGACTGTCTGCCAAACAAAGGGTTAAAGATTTAGAAGCAATGTATGTTAATGAGAGAAAGCGTTGTCTGTCCCTCAACTTTTGCTTTCAGAGTCCTTCCTTTATCAGGACTTAAAACTAAAATTTTGACGACTTATAGAACTCAAAAGACTGAATCAAAGGAATCTGTTATATGGTGTGGTATGAATTCTCCTTCTGGACTGCAATTACATGAAGTGATCAGCAACAGTTGGCCAGCTGCAGTCACCATTCGGATAATCAGGCAGCAACACACCCCCCGCTGTCAGAATACAAAAGCACTGTGGGGTGATTCCTCCGTGCACTCTGCTGAATGAGAAAAAAAGACAAACGTTTGGCCAGCTTTAGTGTAAGGACTATCATTTTCGTGCCCCTAGATCCGAGACGTGCGGTCAGGGGAGGCAGGTGAGGCAGAGCCTCAACTAGTATTATGGAGTAAAAAGCTGTCAGCATTAAGTCTGAAGCTGGCAGCTTTTTCTCCATTCAGATCGGCTTCTATCGGGTTACACAGCAGGGAAAGACTCCCCGCTATGTAACCTGTCATGGACGGAGTGCTGACTGTTAATTACAGGCAGTGCTGCATCCAGCTTTTGACAGTTAGTTAGGTTACACAGCAGCGGGTTTCCCACTGCTTGTGTAACCTATCTTGGTGAGGCAAGAGCTGTCACAGCCTCTACTCTGTGTTAGAGGCGTGAGCTCTGTGGATGGCTTGGACCAATGGCAAAGCGCCATTGGTCCAAGCTGTCCAATAAAAAAAAAAAACACAAGCAGAGAGTACATCGTTCTCAATGCCTCACCAGTGACGAGCAAGTGAGGGACAGGGAAGCTCCTCCCTGTCTCCTCCCCACACAGCTTGGTTACCGAGCTGGGGACGGGATCAGGGCTTCGGCAGGCTGGGGGATGCCTCACCCAACACAGAAGGCATGTCACTGCCTTAGATATGTTTTTCGTTTTGACCAGCCCATGGGGCTTTATGAAAAAAAAATGACTGGTGTATGGCCACCTTCAATGTGCATGCATGCTGTGTGTTTGCACAGTGGCACTTAATCCACAGGAGTGTGCATTCTAAGGGTGACAACATTTCAACAGGAGTGTGCATTCTAAGGACAACAATCCACAGGAGTGTGCATTCTAAGGGTGACAACATTTCCTCTGTGATCGTTGTCACCCTGCGGCCAGACATCTCTTACTGTCCGGATCAACTGGTCAAAAATAAAGAAGGAAAAGCCTACAAATATAAAAGCATTCCATAATAATTTTCATTTTTTGGTATGCATACACTTCACTTGGCAGGTAGGGTAAAATTCCAGATTTTGGCCACTCTCCCTTACTGCCTGTAGTCACCAGCAGGTGTCAGTGTGGTTCACTTGTACTCGGCACACTCAGACTTCCCGACTCGTTTGCTCTTTACGCGGTTCCCATTTCCGACTCCAACCTGCGTAGGCCACGTCACTCGGCTTCTTTCCTGCGGAAGTGACGACACTATATAGGCCGGCCAATCCCAGCACTCGGGTTGCTAGCAGCTCAAGTTGTATGGCTGTAGGATGGTAGCGGAGTGGAGGTGCCGGTGTCAGTGAGCGGCAGACATGTCCGTGCTGTACGCGCTGGCCTGGCGCCTCGTACACGTGTTGGTCGGGGCCCAGCGGGCGCTGCTTGCTTGGCTCCGGCTCTGGCAATGGAGGGTGTGGAGGGCAGCGGGCGCTTTCCTTTTACCGCCTGATATTGGCTTTCAGCGGAAGGCTCCGCACGGAGACTGGAATCTACGGCGGGGGGACTGGTGCCAATGCCGAGAGGCCAGCGCTGACAGCTCCTCTCTGAGACAGCGCTGTGAATGCACCTACCTGCAACGAGACCTCATCCGACACAGGAAGGACCGAGCCAAGCTCAACAAGCTGCCCGTCCACCTGGCACTGCTCATCGGAGAGGAACAACACAGCTACACGGATGTGGCCAGCCTGGTGGTTTGGTGTATGGCACTGGGCATCTCCTATGTCAGTGTCTATGATCAGCAAGGTACACCCTCACACTAGGAAGGCTGGGGGCAATGGGTCACCCTGTATGATCGTGATCAATAAGTACTGACATTCCCTGTATCAGTGTCTATCTTCAGCAAGGTACACCCTCACCCTAGGGCATATGGGAGCAATGGGTCACCCTCTATGGATGTGATCAATAAGTAGTGACTATGTCAGTGTCTATCATCAGCAAGGTACACCCTCACACTAGGGCGTATGGGGGGAAATGGTTCACCCTTTATGGATGTGATCAGTAAGTATTGGCATTCCCTATATCAGTGTCTATGATCAGCTAGGTACACCCTCACACTATGGAGGATGAGAGCAATGGTTCACCCTCTATGGATGTGGTCATTGAATGTTGGCATTGTCTGTGCCAGTGTGTATGATCAGCAAGTTTGGCTGTGATCAGCAAGGTAACCTGTTGTCCTGGGTATGTCCTGTATGGATGTGATCATTCAATGTTGGTACCAGATATCTCCTGTGTCAGTGTCTTTGGCCAGGAAGGTGCCCCTGATTAGACAAAATTGAAGTATGGTGCTAGCTTTTATGTGTGATCATTGAGTGTTGGGGTTTCCTATGTCAGTATCTATGATAAGCAAGGTACCCTGACCCGAGGTAAGATGGGAGGATAGTGTCACCCTGCAATTGAATGTTGGCACACTGGGCATCCCTTATAGCAGTGTTTATTACCAGCAAGACACACAGCCTTTGAGCCTAAGCAGGGAGGATGGTGTCAGGCTGTATGGCTGTGATCATATTGTTGGTATTTACTGTGTCAGTGGCAAGGTATCCCCCTAGGTAGGAAGGATAGTTAGTGTCAGACTGAAAAGATGCGATCATTGAGGGCCTGTTCACACCTATGTGTTTTTGTTTCCCCACCTATTTCATTTTCCATTTAAATCAATTAAAATGCATGCATTTGCACTTTAGCTATAACTTCCTGTTTCATCCATTTTGTGTTAAAATTTAACATGCAACTTAATGCATATCTATGCATGTACACAAGAATATTTTTCTGTAATTGCTCCAATAATGATTGTCATGCAGAATGATGAAATGAGTAAGATACAGACAGGTTGTTAGTCATTCTGCTATGTTCTCTCCACATTGTTTCCTGTTCTTATGTGTATGTTTAGAAGGTTAACACATATAGAGCATATGATAGTGTAGTAGAAATAACAAGAGTGTGCAGGAATTTATACCAGCTGGATGTCTAATTTCACCAGTATAGTCCTCTGCCATGTAAGCCAAGTGTTAGAAATCATACAGTTAAAGTGAATTTGTGCTTTCCTCCTGCACAGGGCGAGCAACAGGTTTGGTTTATATGTCAGCCACAAGGACAGTGTACTTATTCCTTTCATTCCCTTGTTGCTTCATTCAGGTGATGGGGAAGCCCTATGTAAGGCTGGCCATACACTGTTCTATGTTTGAATTTTTTTCATTCAACCTGCGCGCCGAACGAAAACAATTGAGTAGATTCCTCCATCAATGCTATATGAGCGTTGATCGGGGAATCCCCGCTGTTTTATATTCTGACCGCGGCTGCCTGCTATTGCCAGATTATCTACACAGAGCTGGCAAGTTACTTGAAGATTTTCCAACCAGATCCTTCGATAAGCCGATCGAGAACCGTCTGAAATTTGTATAATGTACGGCCAGCTTTAGCTCAGAATCCCGTGCACCTGGGCTGTCATGGGGGCGGAAACGGTGAGTTAAAGGAGAACTATGAGGCGAGTGTAGTTAGAGCCAACTTGTGACATTGAAACTGTCACGCCTCGGCTCTATTGATTGGGAAGTGAGCGAAAACATACCGCCGATCAGCTCTCTTCCCGATCATCTCCCTGCAGAGAGGGGTGGCTGTCAGTCACCGCTCCCCGCAGGGATTCCGATCCTCCAGCTCTGACCTGGGGGAGGGGGCGGACATAGCTGGCCTTGCCCCTAGATAGGCAGAGCCCGCTGTCAATCAGCCAGGTAGTTGGATCTCAACAGTATTGTCGGGATCCGTCCCAGCTGAGGCGCTCTCAGCATATAGTGGACAATAACCTACTATATGCTGAGTTTTGGGTCATGGAAGGACACAGTATATGTCCTCCCGTGACCCTGAAAACTATGAGGAAAAAAAACATTGCCCATAGTTCTCCTTTAATCTCATGCCCCTCCATACCGGGACGTACTCCTCTTTAGGGTTGCTAAATGCATGGCCGCTGGCGTATGCTGGGAGGGACAATGCTGATGCTGGCACATCACACTTTCTTTTTCTTTTTTTTTTTAAACTTAATTGAAATGTTGCAAGTAAAATTTAATTTAGTTCTATCAGTCACAGCATGTTGCAATTCAGTTGTGCTGTGTTGTACCACACTATGCTGAAAAAAAGATACTGCATACCATAGTTTTTCAGAGCACATCTTCACACAGTGCTGTGTACTGGTTGATTGTATGCAAGGCAATGTTCGTTGTCTTTGTGTTGGGACTGAGCTGGAAAAGGCTGCTCAGTATGGCTCCAACACATCTAGTGTGAACCAGCCTTTATTTCCAGCTGCTGAGGGGAGCTAAGGAAAGGGAAGTAGGTGCAGCTGGAGTACATGGTATTAAAGTTAACCTGTTCCTTTGTCATGCATGGGCAAGGCACATATTTGCTTTAAACCTGCCACAAACCTAAGCATATTGTGAAAGAAAGAATACGTTGCGGATTCTGTTGCCAACGGCAACTTGCCAAGGAGAGCATTGTTAAAACTGCCATCGCTGTCTGAATCATATTGCTGTTCTGTTTTTACTGCTTTACAGTTGATTAAGATTGTGCAACTTTTTGAAGAGAAAGAAAATGACATCCATTAGAGAAGGTGGCAGTTTAATTTTGGTGATTCTGCTGCCAGAGAGGTGGCGGTTGCCAGCTACTCACCTGGCAGTGTGACACGGCTTTTAAAGTATCATACTGGAAACATACACAGGGTGCCATTGCTAACATCTTCTTTTAAAAGTGCTAGCTGTCATGATGACCCAAAGACTTCAATACTTTAATTCAGTGACCCAGAACTAGTAGCAGTTGAGTTCTAACTTTACTCTGACTTCACTTTGTGTTTGTTTCAAGTCAGTGATGGAAAAGTACAGAGACAGCTAGCCAGTTGAAATTTTCTAATCAATGATGGCCCCACAAATTTATATATAAACAGCCATACCGCAGAATGGAATGCCAGTTTCTCACAATGAGCTCTGGCAGAAAAAAAAAAAAAATATTAGGGAGGGAGGGGGTGAGTGGGGTGTCATAAATGTTGGACCTGGGAGTAAAGAATGTATCCTGATAACTAGAACACAGAACAAATAAACATAGGATGACCAATAAATCCTAAACAAATCAGGGATATACAACATACATGAATATTATTATGTTCTGTATATTCATAAAAAGTTCTGGTATAAATGTTAACATTTTGGGAGATCGTGCCATCTACATTGAATATTTGGCTCGTTTATTAAAGCATTGGAGAGAGCTTGCCTGCATTGCTCATTTTAGGATGATTGAGCTGTTGGTTTTTCATTGTCTAGATTATTTCAGCGCAGGCTAGTCTGAGCAGACTCTCACAATTCTGGAATCTAGGGGCCTAAAAACCTTAGGGCCCGTTCACACCAGGGCATTGCAGCGTATTTTCATTTTGAATGGGCTCCCAACACACCTAATCATGGCAAAAACCCTGCCTAACCTTTTTCCACAATCCCAACACTCAGCAAAACAGTATGCTGTCCTAGTGCGTTGGTATGACTGCAAAAGAATGGCACCCTTGTGCACCGACTCATGTGATGTGTAATGGATTGAAGGTCCTGCTGTCACATTATCTGGCAGCAGTGAACAAAGTTTCTTCAGTTTGACTTTTCTCTTTGCTGGTTTCAGGCAGCTTTTACTGTGTTTTCCCTTCTATTTGATGGCAAACATAACATGTGGTCATGTAAATACAGCTCCAGGATAATGACTTGTGTTTTTTTTTTTTTCCTCTCCTTCAAGGGTTCTTCAAAGAAAATACTTCTAGACTTATGGATGAATTGTTAAAACAACAGAAAGAACTGTTGGGTGATGAATGTTCAAAGTATCCACTAGAATATGCAAATGGCAGCACTGACACAAATGAGAAAGGTACGTGTGATTGGCAGATAAAACACTGCTTTATTCATTTTCAATGTATGTCACATACACACCCCAGCCTTGCACACTCTGTTTCCCTCTGCAAGAACAGATTCCACTAGGAGATTTGGTCCTAATTGATACTAACCAGGCGGATTGCCATTCATTTCAGTGTCTTTTAATGAAAACCGTTTTTCATTGCCATGCAAAGCAACCAGTGTGCAGAAAAGGTTATTTACCTCACCTGAAAATGGAAGTGGTTTTGTAAACTATCCTGTGTATTAAACGGATCATATTCCCCATTGTTGTACTATAAATGTCACACTAAGCAAAAGGGAGGCTGTGAATGACCGCACACAGGAGGGAAATACATTATGTATTTTTTTATTTCTCTGGGGAGTCCTTTGAGATCTTTCATTTATGTTCTAACTTTAACTTGGAGACGGAGGCATCTGAAAGAATGACTTCAATTTCCACTGTATTGCCAAGTATGCAAGACCCTTCTGGCAGCACTCCACACTCTTAATTTGCACTGACAGTAGTTTTGCAGTGTGAGCTTCCTGTATGAGAAATCAATTTGCTTATCTGATGAGTTTAAATGCCAACTCCTGCCCCTAATACCCCTCCCCATGTATATTTTTTTTAGCCTTTCTATATGTCTTCAGGCTGGTCACATGACATGCAGGTTCCTCTGCCTAAACTCCGGCAATAGGGCCCTGCAAATTGTTTATTAATAGACCCCTATGAGTGCAGAGCACAGTGGAGACGCCCTACACTTACAGGATGTCATCAGTGTTCTGGGATTAAATGATAAAATCTGTTTGTTGGGCTTTAAAGACTAGCTATGCCCAGAACAGATATTTTCATTGTGAGTTGGCAACATTGATCACCTTTAAAGTTTCCAATAGCAATAATTTCTAGCTACATATTTTGTCTCCATACTTCCAATAAATTTGTAATGAAGGTGTCTGTGACGGACCCCCGTACTCAGGATGAGTATGTCCGCCGCTGTCTTCTTCCTTGCTGAGGAGATCTTGGAACCTGAAGATCTGTAGCTCCCAGTTTCCCCAGTCACTAGCCAAGGCTCAGTGTAGGGTAAACAAACTCTGCTTTATTGAGCAACTGCACAAACTTTTATACAGAAAGTGATCAGATCAGAATATAATCCCATCACATCCCCCGTCCCCTCCCTGGACATTCTGTCTTCATAACACCACAGGTGTCCACCTGCTAACGAACTCCAGACAGCCATAACAGAAGCCTGGCCAGAATGTCATTGTTCTGAGCTCCCTCAGAGAACAATAGGAGATAACGAGGGATGGTGCTGATAGTCTTTCCATAACCAGGTCACACAGCATAACGCACTCAAACATAACTCAACACCAATACACATTTAACTTAACCAATACACATAAACTGATCACCATGTCGTCATAGTGTCACTTTCTCACAGCCAGAACTCACAATTATTTTATGTTTTTATGTATCTTATTGAGAATTCATCAGGGGCTTTGTGATGGCTACATCAGTCTGGCAAATCAATGTCATCCAGAGATATAGGAAGGCAGCATGTGATGCAGCTGGCCAGCAAACATGCAGATTTCAAATACCCGTTTTGTATAGGGTTGGCATTTAAAGGATATACTTTCCTTAGGTGGACATATACGTGCATCCATACTGATAGAACTGTTCTAATGCACCTAAGGAGTGCTTTCCAGTTTATTAAACACAACAAAGAAAATATCAATTTGGTTATATTTGGTAGTGTAAGTGAAAACATTGTTCATAGATCAAAACAATCTTTCAATGCATTTTTGGGAGATATAAGCTTTGGATCAAAATGATTGTTGTAGTGAACCATTTTATTTTATGGCCAACATATGTAAAAACATCATTTAGTATTTAGTAACAATGTGTTTTTTTTTTTGTTTTTTTTTTTATACAGTGATTCGTCATTTGCCCGTCTTAAAGGTGCTATCTCCAGAAGATGGGAAGACAAACATTGTTAAAGCTGCACAGAATTTTTGTCAACTTGTAGCAGAGAAAGACAAGAGACCATCAGATTTGGATGTAGAATCTTTTGATCTTCTATTAAGAAGTAATTAGTCTTCTTTACCGTTTTGTTCTTCTAATGTGATGAAATTCATTTCCGATTGCTGTTTTAATAGAAATGTTCAGTTTTAATGTAAGGCAGGCATAATGTAATTTTTAATGTGTGAACTGTTGAAGAAGGCGGGGCAGCGGAGCCCGGGAAACCCAGAGCACAGGTACTTTATCGGCTTATAGAAGCAATCTGGAGGCTGCTGAGCCGCCAGAATCACTTCTATCGTAAAGCCGGCAGCCAGCTTTACAAAGCTAAACAGCTAAGTCTGTTTACAGGGCCGTTCTGCCACCGGCGTACTATATATGGCTGTTGTCGCAAATGGGTTAACCATTCTAATTTTTACTGAGCAGCTGTTTAGGCCTCCTCTTATGTAAGGTCCTTCAGGTGGCTCTTTGAGCTGCAGTCCCCAGTTCTTTTTTTATTTGGCCTGTTAGGGTTTTGCTGCTGTTGTCCAACCCTCACTTGCATTGCTTTTGGACATCCTGACAGTCTTTGAAGTCTTCTTGAAGTTCAGTGAAGGACACTGGTTCCACCCCTTTGTGCCTATGATTGCTCTTGGTACTGCTTTGCCACAGAACTGAGGCATGCTTGGGAGTATGGGGGTTATACTGGGCTGGCCATAGTTTGTTTTTCTTCAGTTCAATTCTCCTAAAGGAGGCACTATAACCTGACAGTCTCTGAATTCCTGTGTCCCTCAATGAACTTCAAGAAACTGATTTTACAGTGAATACATAAATCGTGTTTTTAACTGGAGTTGGAATTTAATGCACACTGTGCTTGGTGAAGTACAGGTTCGCATTGTGTTGACCTTTCCTGTATCTTTCTAAACATAAAAAAAAATGTTTTCCAATGGGTCAACAGACTTGTAGCCTTAAATCTAAGTTGGAGGGGAAATATATTTCTACAGTTGTAACATGACATTTATATCATGTTTTCCTTTTTTGTAGGTACACACAATTTCCCAGACCCTGAGCTAATATTGAAATTTGGCCATATAAACAGCACACTAGGTTTTCTACCATGGCACATACGACTTTCAGAAATCATGTAAGTATGTAACGCTATATAAGTACTATATAATGCAGAGTTAAGCATGTACTGCAAAACTATGACCTATTCATTTGAATGTAGTACCCATCAAAAGATGTTAGAAACAGTAATGAAATGCCTATATTAAAAGTAGTGGAGAATGGGTTTAAAAATGTTAGTCAAGACTTCGGGCATTTGTGGACGTGCTTTTGTTCACGCCAGAACTGCTTCCCCCCCCCTCATACAAATTGATGCGAATCAAGCAAGATCAAAAGTTCAGCTGCAGGACAGATGCAATAAATTTAGAATTATCTCAGCAGCATCTTAAACTGATGTCATAAGCACATTGCATTTGCCCATTGAAGCCTGTCGACACGGGCCCTTATTGGCAATGGCTACATGGCACTAAGGACTTGCCTGGCAGCGGTATTGTATCTTTATTATATATAGCTAATTTGAATGTAGCCTCTGTGTCTCCCATTCATTTAAAGGCCAATTGAATTTTTTTTTTTATTGTAATGCAGTCAAGCTGCATGTACATTAATAAATGTGCCTTTTTTTTTTCTCTACTTTTTGTTTAAAATCTGTGCTGGCAGATCATAGGAGAGACCCACACTCAGGAAGCAGCCCAGCTCTTCCTGAACACTTCTTTTCACCTGCATTTCTTAGGTCGGGTTCACACCTAGACGGCATCATTTTTACGCTCGTGTTCAGCGTGCAGTAATTTGCATGTTTATGCGCATTTTGCAACTTTTGACGTACGTTTGTACGCTCAGGTGTCAACCGGGGCCAAAAAAAAAATCATGGGATTTCTTGTGTTGGGCATTTTAGGTATGAATGAACGGGCCGGTGTGCGCACGCGCACACTGCCCGTTTGCAGTCAGCGTCAGCCCGCCCCTCATTACAGTCACCGCAAGCCCGCCCCTCAGCGGGCGTGGCTTGCGATGATCGAGAGTGCGATCTGCCCGTCCAAGATGGGCAGATCGTACGTTTTTTTAATCCCTTTACAACCATCGCAAGACTAAGGTCTTGCGATGATTGTACAGTGTATGGCCACCTTAAGAGAGTGAGTGAGTTGTTGATTAGAGCAGTGATCAGTAGGGTGTGTGGGGCTGCTCGAGAGCTGGGTGTGTGAGAGCCACAGTCTGACATTTCTATGTCCAGGCAAAACAGGGTTTTTGTATTTTTTGTTTTAATTCTTGCTGCAGCACTTGGCTGATTTAACAAAAATTGTAAAATGAAAGCCTTAGTTATTACTATATATGCAGCCTGACTTTATAGATTTTTAGATTGTAAGCTCTCGCAGGCAGGGCCCTCCTAACCATCCTGTTATGAATTGTGTTGTAGCTGTAGTGTCTTTCTTATATTGTAAAGCTCTGTGCAAACTGATGGCGCTATATCAATCCTGTATAATACTTTGAATAAGGAGGGTTTACCTGGGCTTGAGTAGTAGTGCAACTGGAGACTAGCATGTCCAGTTTTACTTGTATATCTGTAAAAAATAAGTCAAGGCAACCTTAAAACATCATTGTATGTGGCAGATAACAGATGTCTCACCCCAACACCTATCACCTTTAACACCTCCCTCTGGGCAGGTTGATAACACCTCCTAGCTCCAATAATGCAATCAACACCTGGTTGCAACTAATATATTATGTGGATTGGAGCAACATTCACCATATTCATTTCCAGAGAATTTCCGTACAAGTCATTCTGAATTGAGAAAGCTGGTTGGATGACCAGTGAAACGTCTTTAAGAAAAAAATACAGCAAGTCCAGTTGCCTTGACTTATTTTTTACAGATATACTATGACCTGGATGAATGAGAATCTTCACAGACAGTTTAACTTGTAATTTGGCAATAGCCTGCTCTGTTACTATAGTTATATAGTGGATTGGTTAGCATTAAAAAGTATGTATTTTTGTAGTGTAGGCGCATATATAAATTGTTCAGTTTAATTCAGTTATATATTTTATTAAATATTTCTTATACATATTTTTATTTACTGCTTCAATCTGCCTTTGTGCTTTTATAACCTACAGATGAGCATTAATTTCTTTCTTATGGTAAACACATGTATGGGCAGTTGAATGCTGAAGAGGGCTATGATGTGCTTGAAGCATTTATAATATGTATATATTTCCATTAAAGAGGTTGCACAGAGGTATGATATGTCTTTTTGTTTTTCTTTTTTTTTTCCCCCCTTAGCTCTATACCATCGCATGTGAATATCCAATACGAGGACTTTTTCTTCGCTGTCTGCTGCTATGCAGGCTGTGAGCAGCGATTTGGGAAATGACCTCACTTTCTGTCGAGCCAATTCTGGCTCCCTTTAAAAGGGACTCGGTACGTCTGTTTACGAACAAGCAGTCTGACTTCAGACGTTAATGGTTCTTGGCCCAGAACTGGTCTTATTTGTCATACATCTGTTATTTAAAGTGTGGAAATGATGCACAGACTGAGATCTGTCTGCAGCCAAATCGGGGACATTTAAAACAGAAATATGACCAAGTCATGCCCCCTATTTACATGTGGACAGTGCTTTCATGTATATCAAGAGCCTATTTGTGGAGTCCAGCTTATTTATGGTAAGGGAATCTATAGCAGAACCCTGTGATTACTGGGTACATTACAAGAACATCCATGACCATGGCTACCTATGAAGTAAGTGTTTTCAGGCAGCGTTCCGTCCAGCTGTTTCCTTATGGTATGGTCAGAGAGCGGAATATGGGTGTGTTACTTCTCAATCTACTCCACAGATATTTAAATTGTAACTATTGAAAAAACAAGTGGATGTGTGCTTCACAGAACCAAAAATAGCTTTTGTTGTACATGGACATTTAAATATCCCTCTATTGGCATGAAGTATTTTTGCTGTGAAAGAGTAACCAAATATGTATTGAAATTCCGGTTCTTGGTCTGGGATCCAATGAGTAAGTGGCAGGAAAGTCATGAGAACTGTTTGGCTATTTGAATCGGTTGCACTGAATTTACATGCCAACCAACTTTGTAAGGTTTTCTTTTTTTAAGTTATAATTTATAATAAAAATTTTACCATTTTGGTTTTCGAGAGCAAGCATCTTGATGTGTATGGGGCATTTTCTATAGTTTGACCCGTGTATTTGCAGAATACACTACATAAGTGATTAGATCTCTTGTTTAAAATCCAACTCCAGTCAAACCTTTTTTTTTTTTTTTTT